AATATGTGCCAGTGGTGTTGCCTCCAAAGTTCAAGACCATACTTTTGTAAACTCAAGAGGTCCGGAATTGTACGATGATGAATTAGTCCAGGCGTTCAGATATTACGGGATTAAATGTATGTTCACATATCACCTGACCTACAAGGAAGTAATTGTGAGTAATGATTGCACATAGGCTGTCAGCTCATATTTTGGTCTGATGCTGAAAGTTTTTACTTGTCTGTCACAGGACCCTTTGTGCTGTGGTAGATATGTCTTTTGAGTTGGGATGTACTAAATGATTTCGTTTTTGATGGTGGTGCTTTTTTTGGGTCTGACCATATCTGTGTTTGCAAGGTTGTGACGTGCTGATGATTTGTGACCTCGTTTTGTTGAATATCGAAAGCCTGCTTGTGCTGCGGGATGTATGTTGCTTTTGTTTGAGTAAGGGTGATGAGCTTCTCGCATGCATGGCTGCTGATGTGGTTATCTTGTTTGTGGCGTTTTGATACTGATGCTTTGCCTGGTGATCACAGCCTTTGCGAGCACACCTTATTGTGATGAAACTACATATGATCTGTTGCCTCGTGCTGTAGTAACTTGCGGTGTCTTTACACATAATTTGTGTGTCAATTTCTCAACAGCGGCGCCCGCCGCTAAAATGCTAGTCATGATATTATAGCTTGGTAACATTGAAGATTGCCTTGTTTGAAAATGACTTTGGATCAACAAAATTCTAAATGGCAAGACATGTAAATTGCTGATAAGACTCCCATGCTGAGTGTACTTGTCAACAATGGCAATTCACTCTGATGTATGCCCACAGGGCCCGTGAGAGTACATCAAAGTAGGGCTCAGGCTTTCAGGGCATGTACTCTCTGCTTCCAAGCAAGAGTTGAGCAGAGTTGATTTAGCCTATTTCAGGTTGGGTTGTGGCCCTGTCAGAGCATGCGAGGGCAAAATTACGTCACACATCTTGTGTGGATAGAACTGAATGCTACCCTAACCCTCAGTCCCAAATCTAACCCCAAACCCCTACCTTCTAACCAATTGTTGTTGTTCTTCAATTTTATCAGACACTTGGTGTCATAACTCTCAATAGCGTATGAGCCCTTAGATCACCATATTTTGCTACCAAACTGCCAACTATTGCAACATATTCACATTATATCTCTAGCTTACATATGTGTAAGATTTGAAGTCTTAGTATGTTGTAAAGGTGATCACATGGTATACTATATAGAAACTGAGATCCCTGATTAAGCAAGAAAAATCACTCATTGTAAGATACCATAATTTCACAAAAAATTGGAATTCAAAAACTTACCAAACATCTCCATCACCAAAGTGTTCAAAAGAAGCTTGAAGAACTTATATTCATCACCACAAATCTTGTGCAAAGTAACAACCAGGGTGAGTTCAGATCTCTAAGTTGATGATTTTCAATTGCAATCCTTTCAAGTCGTGATCTGATTTTTAGGTTCTACATCAATCTGTCAAGCAGGGGCAAAAGCTGCAGTAGCTAGATTCTCATTTAAGAATTGAGTGCAGGCTCACTATCAATGGTACCATGTCTACAAGGAGTCAGGGGGATATTCTAGGTGATCTGAAGGACTGAATCATTTCAACCCAATCATTTTCATAAGGCATATTTAATTTCATAGAAAGATGATATCAAGCAAGTGAATGAAATCAATTAGGAATAGGGATGACATTTGCAACAACTGGTCTTTTGATTCAATCCCATTCTCTACAAATGATTTTTTTGCTTGCGGTTTGGTTTTGGAATTACTCAATCTGTCTTTGGATCAATTCACTGTTTCATGATCAAATTTTATTCTGTTATTAGTAACTTATGCTCTTGTTGATCTTGTATTGATCATCTCATATTGAGTTACTGGCCCAAAACTTTGGCTACCAAAGTGAGTGGTTTTTTTCCCTGTCCTAAAAGAGATTTATAATTTTTCATATTTAGTTGAATAGAAACAACACTTTGTGTTTCTTCTATCTCAATTTGATATTCAAAACCACAAGTCTAAACATCTGAATCAAAGAAAGCTAGGGTTGAAATTTAACTTAGCTAGGATATCTTCAATATGTCCACCCACTCATAATTCTGTATCACCATACATAAAATGACAATGGATCAATTATCCAGATCATCAAAAGAACAATCAGTTTAAAAAGCATCAATTTGTCAAGAGGTGTTGTTTGAAACTCACTTTTTGAAGCTTTTTTGGGTTTAAATTGTAATCTGAAGTATTTGTTGAAATTCTCAAACAAACCAACACATTCCTGCTCCTTGTAATCTTCACCAACCCTGGCTTCATCACTCAATTCACCATAATCAACAATACCGTGGGATACACATTCTCAGCTTGAGAAACATTAAGTTGTGTGTTTGCTGAGGATTCCATAGAATGTTTGCCTGATTTTGTTCTTCCTTATATGATCCATATTTACCATCTTTACCTAAAAACAGGATCAAATTTGTGGCACTGATAAACTTTTTGCTCCAAATACCCGATTTCACGCTTTTAGACACTACCCATTTGATACTTCTAAAGTTCTTGCCATTAATGACACTTGATCAGGTGGTGGAATCCACATAAAAAACTGTTTATGATCAATTAGAAGGCAAAAAATAGTTGCTGGGAATTATTTCAACCCTTTTTGAGTTTAATGTGAGGGTTTTGTACTGTTGAAAGTCGGACACTCTATCTGTGTTGTTTTCCTCCTTCTACTCTTAATTTGATTTTCTTATGTTGTTGCTCATCTTCCAAAAATGTGACAGGATGGGTAAGTACTACCAACAAGTATCAAAGACTGCATGTTTCAAGACTTGTCTTTAAACTACCCTTGGCCAATTCCTTTTTCTTCTGATTCATCAAGATCAAACATCTCTTTGTGATCCAGAGGTTCTTCGGAATTCAAATCAGTTCAGAAAATCAAGCAATTAGCTGTTTTGTTTGAATTTGAATTTGTTTGATTTACCTTGGTGACTATTCATCATTCGATAAATTCCTTTTGACTCTAGATGAATGAACATAAGTTTCAGTCACAGTCCTTGTTTGTGTTCCCATCCTTGTCTTTGTTCTTGAATGGCATTGATTATCGCTTGATTGGCTTCAATTTTCCTCTATTTGATTGATTAAATTTCCTTATATGAAACAAAGCGACTTGAATCAGGTCGGAACCAACCAAAGATGAAACAGAAACTCGCTTAACATGGGTAATAAAGATTATATTGCCATGGTCTAAAGATGACATAGATCAGTGGAACAGTGATTGATCTATAAGTTGAAATCAAGAAGTGAGAACAGAAAAGTCAGAGGAGCTCAAAAGCAAGATGGAAAGATGAAGAGAGAAAGAGAACGGTTAAAACTTACTTTAGAACCTGAAAAATCGATTCATGACTTTCAGACTCGATTACCATGATAGATGAAATATGATAGATAGAATCAATTGAATGAAGTCCCAGGTGTGGAAGCGATTGAGAATAATGATACTTTGTGGTTTTATTATATAGATAGATTATCAATTGATTTGCTTTAAAAGTTGTTGGTAGATGATGGGTTCCGATCGAGATTAACAATACAAAAAGAAACAATTGAGTCTGTTAAGTGTTTATTGTTATCTTTTATATAAGCAACTACATATAACAAAACAACAAAGGAAAGAGCTTACTTTTCAAAAACAACTCAATGACCTTTGATAACAAAAAAGGTGATCATTGTTGCACTTGAGTTAGTTGATCCGCCTTCAAATTGATTTGTCTGATTGTGATCTTGAGGCTGATTTGTTTTGATCCAAGTTGAATGATGAGGTTTGATTGATTATCCGGAATCTGGATTTGGGGAGCATTCGAGGATCGTTGGAAATGGGCGAAAGTGGGCGAAAAGGTAGACAGCCTGTACAAAACCTATACTCGCTGTAAGAGTAGTTCAATACAAATTGCCACTCATCTCACGAAGACTCACGTTGTAGTATTTAAAGCTCGAGAAGAGCTTTACAACACCTAAGAAGGGATAATCTACTACGTGTAATATAGTAGAAGTTGCCTAAAGACTGCCTTCTTCAAAGAAATCAGCACAAGGGCACTTGCTGACCACTTTGTGATAACAGAGAAATAGATAAAGCACCAGAGAAAGTAAAGCAATACTGTTGTGAAGTATTATTCCCAGATTTTAAGCGCAAAAAAGTCACACACTATGTTTATTACTAGCAATACTGTTGTAAGTTTTATTCCCAATTAGACTTGTAGTCTTTAACACACGTAAATAAATTTCTCCTTGCTTTGAAGGGGCGGATTTAAGTGATCTTAGTACAAATATAGTAAATAAATGATGATTTATAACACTACAACAAAGGTATAAGATGCAGAAAAGGGCGTTACAATCCTAAAATCATCAAGGAGTACTTATATCCACATGTAACAACTTTTACAACAGTCAACAGCTTCAAAAACCAATCAAATCCGCCTAAATAACCCTAAAAACCATGTAATGACGCAATGTAATGATCTTGTTACTAATGTATGATGTAATTTTCACAGCCAAAAGTGATCAATGACGCAATGATGTAATGTACAGCACTTCTTATGATGAATACAGGTGATTTTTTCCTTGTAAACTAGCTGAAACCCAATTTTTGAGATTACGAATTTTTTCAGATGTGCTCCAATTTTTTATTACTAAAGTGCATCTTGTAGCCCACGTGTTACTGATCATTTCTGAAACCTACAAGACCTACTTTTGATGAGTGATGAGTAAGATATTGAGTTGTGAAGTTAAGGTTTTTGGTGTTACATGTGACTTGTGACTGTAAATTCGAGATTCACACCAATTTCTTATTTCCCTTATAACTTTTTACATAAACCTGTGTTACTAATGATTTAAAGGTTGTCCATTATGTAATCCACTCTTCTGCGTTGAATGAGCTATCTACCAGCTTTATCTGACGTCACTTGACACATGTAATTAGCTGAAAACCTCCATTTTCGACGATTTTCACCTATTTTCTTCACTTTTCACAGCTGCTACTCTCTTTTTCTTGCTCATGTAATATGACATCATCTTCTATAACCTTAAAAATCCCGGAAAATCCTCTTGGCAACCTTATTCATTACTAATACCATTACATATGTAAACTACACGCCTAACCCTTGTTTACCAACTTCGAAAAAGTACCTATTCTGCTAATAACCTCTGTTTCCCCTTATCAACCTTGAAGATTAAAATTGTTCCTGTATAATAAACTGTTTTTCTTTCATATTCTAACCTC